AACCCGCGGAAAGTCTTAACTCTTTCTTTGCTCCTACTTTCAATCATTCTTGTCTTTCTCGTCCGAATAAGCAGCCAAAAACAGCAATCAAAGCCGGCACACGGTAGTGCATGGTGAATGGTTTTACAGGTTGAACTGAGCTGAACTGTAATCACACTGTCATGAGATATCTTGTCACAAATGTCACGCTCTATGTACATTCCTGCACGACGTTTTATATGTTGTTCAACAGCTTATTTGGTGGCACAACGCAGTAATACATTATCCCGTGTTCGCGGGTCCATATGTCACATGCGTCCCGTATTTAGCCGAGTTTTGTCCGCTCCCGTCTAGATGAGATCGATCTCACCTTGAATACACTGTGTTCATGGAGATGCGAAACCTTGAATTAGCAGACTTTTAGACCTCATTCCTACTGGAATAGATCAATCGGTACTTGGATTTTGAGCGCGAGCTGTTTGGTTTGTCTCTATGGACATCAATTGCTGATGCTAGTGCTCATTGTAAGCACCGCTGGAATCGACTTTGGTAAGCGTCTCTGTTTACTTGATCTTCTGACCTTTGTCTCCTAACGGTATCCTGTGTGTATCACACGTCTTGTAGTCGTTTGACGGTCGATAGCAGTTTTAGACATCAAAATACGTTTTAATCCTACCGTTGTTTTGTGCCTCCTATCCTCTCCTGGATGTGAAAGATTCTTTCGCATGAATCACGCCAGATTACTCCCTTTTACTTCTCTGCGATTTTGTTGAGGTATCCCCGTTAATCACTGAAAAGACCAGTAAAGCGGAGAATTATTTTCGGTTAATTATCCTCAAGCTCTTATATTAACATTAGCAATAGGAGTGGCGGGGCCTTTGAATTCAGCCGCGCGTTCCGTTATGTCGTCGCACTCCGAACCACACAATCACTTCATTGGATTTTATCTGTAATACAGGTCCTTTGTTGCCGTAAAATCGTCGTGCAACTATGGTCATCCTAAATTCTGTGAAATACTCTGCTGCCTTCATGAAGCAACTTCGAATTCACGGCCACTGGATTTTACCTTCTTTCGGTAAATCGGCTCGTAACAGAGAGAGAGAGAGGAGAAATCACGGAAACCTCAAGAGTTTCCCAGAAAACTTCCAACTGGATTGCAGGTCGCACCACGCAAACGATCTGTTTCAGACATCTCCATTCCAGCAGTTATCAGTAGAAATGTGCGCTCCCTGCTTCTAAGGTGGCAGAAGTAATAGATCTGACAAAGAAACGTGAATATTCAAAGTTATAGTCGTTATGCTTCACGAGAGGTGGCTCCACAATGAAATTGATGCTAACGTTGTCAAAGTCTGCAAATTTTCCATCTGCCGAGTTGACCAATCCTTTCCGGTTCACAAACGAGGCGGTGGTGATATCACGTACATAAATGACGATTGGTGCAAATCAGGCAAACGAGTTTTCGTGTATTCTA